TCCGATGTCGGATTAGTTTACCTGGGTACACACATTTTCTTAAAGCTGAACATTTTTAACTGGGCTCATTCTCAAAAGAGACACTTTTCTTATTATTGTCTGCTGCATTTCCTTAACCATTACTACTTAATGCTTTCGTATAGCTACTGAATGAATCATATAACTACTGAATGAATTCTATAGCTATCGAATAAATATTCTAGCTACTTAATGAATCTTATAGCTACTGAATGAATTGAAATATTTATGATACCAACATTATTAATGGTATAAAGGAGCACAAGGGGCTGAAAGGGATGTACTAAAGAGAGAGTGAAACATGTAAGTCATCATATATAGTTGACGATGAAATAATCGAAATACTTGAAATTTGAATCTCTATTATATTTCGGATTACTTTCAAATGTTAATGAGTTGATGTTGTTTTTTTATTATTAAGGTCCATCATGCTGTTTCTGAGATAAATTCAAGTAAAACAATTTGTATTCATAATGTGAATCTGTATTTGGTTCATTAGAATATTCGAATATTTATGATATTGGGGGTATTAGTGATATAAAAGAGGAAGAGATACGTAATAGGATTTTTTGGAAAAAATATGTGAAATGATATTAATAAGGTTTGTCTCTCGTTTGCAATATGGCTGAGATGCTTTTTTAAATTGATGTAGAAAACGTTAAAGAGGTACATGAACTTTCAATAAATGCGTGATCTTTGAATAGTTATAATAAAGTTGGAAGCAGCTATACAATAATCAAGTAGTTATGAATTCATTCAGTAGCTATAGGTCTTTTTTTAAAAGTATCTCTTTTGAGAAACTATGGATCAGGCTACTCGAAGTCAACATGCAATTGCAAAACAAACATAATAAACTTCATCAGTAGGAGAACTACATCGAAGATCTATCGACTTTTTTTGTAAAGAATAATACACATTACTGTTTTAATCAATCATTGTATATCAGCAGTTCCATTCACAAGTTTTTACATATTAGCAGCGAGAGGTAATGGCACCGAACTTTTTAAAGATTTCAAAACCTAAAAAGAAACTGAATCTTCAAACGTTTTGCTTGCGAGATCAGCCAAGGGGGAAACGGCAGACTTTTGAACTTTTGGACTTCAAGTTACTTTCAGCTATTTCAAGTAGCTTATTTTGACCTACTTTTCTACTTCAAGTCCGTCGTCCCCCCTTCAGATCAGCACCGCACAAACTCTTAACTTGTTATGGGTGAAACGAGAAAGAAAAACAGAAAAATCTTGCAATAGTACATTGATCCTACATCTTGTACAGATATATGGCTTCATGTTGTTTTGTATCACAAATAGGGCATTTCAAACATGCAAAAATCAATGGAATGAGAATCATACAATCAGAAGTATCAAGTACTCGGTTGATGAAAGACATCTACTGAATAATAATTTTGACATAGAGGAAGTGGTTAATTTACGCTCGTCGATCAACAAGATTCTTTTTTTGTCAGTGTACATGTATCAGAAAGGAAGGTTTCTTAATGATAAAATTTACATAAGATGGCTAGAAAAGCAACTTAAAGTAAATAAGAATGATTCTCAAAATGATTATTTTCATTTTTCATTAAACAAATTTTCGGTATAAGGGTACATCTTTTTTTTTATACTCTATGAACTAGCCAGGGATGGTGTTGTGGTTCTATAAATCTGATTTAGTCAGAGAGCAGAAGGTGCGATTACTTCCCCTGGCACGGTGTTTTGGTTTCAAAGATATTCGATAATGGAAGAATAGTAAAGAAAGAAAAAACAATTCAATACACGTGGATTCGTCATCACTGCCTCTCCAGTTTGTTTGTTTTCTGTTCTTTGTATTCTGTTCTCTATATATTATTGTTATATTTCTCTCTCGTAAGCGTCCGAAAAAACTGTACTAGAAATCATAAAAAAGGTAGGATGTCACGAATAAATAGAGCGAAATTTAAAAAAAAACTCCATGGACTGATACCAAGCCCTAATAATCGATATCATGCTTGAACAAAACTGCAGTTTGTTTGGCACTTTTTCATAAAGAAGAAGAATTTATATCACACGAAGAAATTCATATTGTTTAAGTTCAATTCTCAGTATTTTCAATGTAATCGAAGTACCAAACGAAAAAAAACTATGAATAAAGCTTCGGGCGCTTTCGAGAAAAATCGTAATTATCAATCTATTAACGACGTATGCAGTATCTAAAAGAAGCATACGTGATCATTATTCACTGTCATATCACATAAAATGATTTTCGTATTGTAGAAAGTGAAAAGTTCCGATATTTTTGGCTGTGGCTGTGGCTGTGGGTGTGGGGGTTTATTGAGTTTGCACTATTACGTGTTATTTTGCAGGGAAGCACATCACAAAAATATGTTTACTTTAATTTTCATGTTCGATAGGAGTTTTATTGACGAATGCACATTCACTTTCGTGACCTTTTCATATGCAAGAAAGAGTGTGCGATTTCTCGGATGTTTGTTGTACTGTTTTAGTCATATAAAAGTTGCTATTCAAGAATATCCCGCAAAAGTACATAGTCTTTTACGCAGACAAGAAACAGAAGCAAGTAGGCAGCACAACATAGGGAGAGTTAGTAATGAATTTGACTCTTTTTACTCGATATAAATTCCAAAGATTAATTTGCATTCTTCGATATGTGTATACCGAATAGAAATTATAAGATTTTAACAATAATTATTATGTTGAGTAGAAGTTATTTTTTCAGAAATAAGATATTCACTAGAAGTACGCCGCTTTAGCGATAGCCTATTGTAGTCTTTCATCGTTATGTTCGCCGTAGGATCGACGCTGAGTGTCTCAATGGCTTTATCAGATGTTGAATAGGGTGCTCTGTCGACTAATGTCTATTATTAAGAGAGTTATTACGTACAAAGTTATTTTAGTGGACATTTGCTTGAGAGTACATTTCGTTGCGGTATCAAATGTCAAAATATTATTCAAGAAGATCGATGTTGTCATCTTAACTTGCCTAAGTCTCTCATTATAGAACCTCTAGAAGATTTTCTATTGATGTGCCCTTTCTGATCACTCCTATTGATTAGCGGAGGTCATATCATCATCTAGATATGGAGACAATTAATTCTGCTGATAGTCTTCGCAATAAATTTGATTTCTGCTCGAGCTGAAAGTTAGAAAAAAAACATGTGTAAAATTACATGTACCTCGATGAATTGTGTAGGAAAAGTATTCATTTTGTCGGTTTACATTTATTTTTCATTAATAGTTCACTTTTCTATAAGTGACAGCTAGAAATTGATTGGCTCTTATTTGTCTAAGATCTAGCAAGCGATGGTCATTCATAGTTCCAGCTGAAAATATAGTTATGAGAGTATATCAGCATCAGTATGAATGAAGAGAAACTCCAAAAAGTCACTCGTTGCCACGTTCAACCTATAGCAGCAATCCTGAAAAGTAGGAAGATATGTTTCTAAACATTAGTGTCACTCTTCTCGCAACACATTCAATAGGAAGAGAATGGCATAATAATGTAATAATCGACAACTATTCTACCACACAGAAGCACGTAAAAGTATGAATAAGTCAGGGAGGAAATTTGCGTCTAAAATATCTTCAGTAACATTCACAACCACGTCCACTCAAGTAAACGAAAGAAATGAAGAAAAATTGAATATTATAATGCAGTTGATAGTCAGATGAAGTGAGAGGATAAATGATTTTGGTGAAAAATGTGTTATTAATATCGAATTGATTTCTCTCAATTTATTATTTCTTTTTTTGATTACTGATATAAGAACTCCATATTTATGTCGCACAAAACAACTTGATCATGTGTTTCTCATTAAAAGGTTCGTTAAAAACTATTTCGCTTTCAACATCTATTGTAAGTCGATTCCTTGACTCATACATCGTTTACAGTATGATGGTAAGAACAGAACAAACACATGCGTCAGGCAGAAAAAGTATTCACCATTTCTTTTACGTCGTACCATATAGCATTGTTTCATTATTACAACGATTAAAAATAAATAGAGCCCATCATGAAACAGAAAATGTCATGAGTATTGCATGCATTATATATTTTTCTACTATTCTAGTGATATTAACTCAGTTCAATATTAAAGCATAATCCGAATATGATGTTTGTGCAAAATCTCTCTGCTCTTTGTCTGATTTTTATTGTTGCAATTGTCTCCTCTTTTTCTCCTGACACCTCCTCATTTGATTTTTATGGCCTCAAGCTTGCTGGTAACGATATACTGCTTGTTGAATCGCTTCCTTCTCAAGGCACTTTCTTACTTCGTCTGGCTCCGTTTACCTACTCGCTTACGTGCACGATTGGTTACAACACATCAAGTCAATATATATATACAGTAGCAGTCGCTCGATTAATGCAAGAAAACAGTACGATTCGATTCGTGTTCATCGGTGTGGATCAAATAACTAATGTCCCATTCATTGGATCCTTGAATTATACCGGAATAAGTGGAAATGCATATGTATCAACGATAAATTCGACACGGAAAACTAGCTTTGCATGCGGTGGATGGAATACAACTAATTATAAAATACACAGTTTCAATCAATTCTTGTATGACGAAGATGATGTGAATAGTAACTTGAACTTCTTTGTGGTTGCTGTTGAGTTAGTATTTCATTCTTCCATAGTCTCATTTATTAACATATTACACCAGGTAGAAAGGTTTTAAAATATCTATATTTACATTTCTCGTATTCTTGTATGTCTTATCGGCTTGTGTTACTAGAATTAATTTAATACGAGTAAAAATATTTCAATTGACTATACGATACAAAATTCTTTTGATCTGAACGTAAGAAACAACTGTATTGCAGATTATTTCAATTGACTATACGATACAAAATTCTTTTGATCTGAACGTAAGAAACAACTGTATTGCAGATTATTTCAAAAAATATTTTATTTAAACTGAAGTCTCTATCGATTAAAATAGTTCTCGTCGTTGATTCTATGTATTTCACATGTTCTTATTTAGACCAATGGGACAGTATGCTTATGCGTTCACTCAAAGTTTTCTTCTTTTGTACAACCTTGGAACGGATAGTGTTTCCATGCAACTCGGTAATCTAACCTGGCCCGACAGCTCATTTCTTCCACGTGCTGTTGATATTAATCAAGATCTGCTCGTTGTGGTACTTGGCTACGTGGGTAATCCGAGCAGTAAATTTACTCCATGTGCTTATCTACTGAGTAGATCCGGTTCAAATTGGACTGTAACAGACACATGGGTATACATGCCACCGACGAATAGCTCTTGGCAAGCAAGTCTTACAAATTGGGATGCCAATACCTACTCGGCCAAATACGATATGTCAGCGAGCTTCAACGACGCCAAAAGTCAAGTTCTGCTCGGCATTCAAATAACAAACACCTTTGTATTACTCGATATTGATCGAGCTTCTAAAAGGTTTCTCTTACCGTCTCAATCACTGTCAAATGGAAAAGCAATAGGAACAGGCAAAACAGTCGGTTGGCTCAATAGTGACGTCGCTCTTATACTAGTAAATACATACTCTCTCAATTATATTTGGTCAGCATCACAAATCATTACGTACAATTTGAGTGTTAACAGTACCTTCACCATCGTATCGATTATACCAAATAGTCAACAATTGCTATCACCACAATTTGGTCCTATTCTATTAGCACTTATAGCTACGCCAAGTAGCATCATATTAATGTTAGATTCATCCGGTAACTTATATATTCTTCTTCCATCGCCTCCCGGTTCATATTCAGATCCTAGCAAAGCATCGGTTTCGTCATTGCTACCGTGTATTGGTGGTACTTACAGCTCTGAGCTTGACATTCAACCTTGTTCGCTTTGCCCTCAAGGTTTCAGTACATATGGTTTAACTGGTCAATTATCCTGTGTAATATGTGTGACCGGTGCCTTTTGTCCACTAGGCTCAGCTTTTGGTAACATCTCTTCATCTTCTTCAGTTCTCACAAACATCAATCAAGCTCGTGCCTATCCGTTGTCACCGACGTCAACTCGTTTTGATACTATTCTAATGGAAAACATGTTTGTTATTACTACCACTTCGTCAACTACTTGTCTGGTTATGTCACCAATGTTTTTGGCATCGATGATCATGTTATTAGGTGCTGCCGTCGCAGTTTTGATAATTATTCTCAAATACTGCGTCAGTAATCCTCGAGGAAAGAAAACAGAACAACGTCTCGAACATTTTTTCAAACAAACGGATGTAATTGGTGAAGGCGAGTTCTGGATAGGTGGAATAGTTAGTTTTGCCATAATTTTTATATGTATATGCGGTTATATATTCAGTGGTACGTATTATAAGCGTTATCCAATTGAAAATTCAAATGCTGGTACTGTATTTGGTTGTGATCCTACCTTGACGAATGCTCAATTCACTTCTGGCTTGATGTCTGTCATGGTTTCTCCGAATGATGATGAAGCACTAATCTTTGAACTCCTCGACGCGCAAACATTTATATTACAGGTTGACTTTGTCAATACGCTCTATACATGCACAGATTTGACTTTAGCACAAGTAAAAGATAAAATATTGCCTCTAGCTTATTCGTCTTGCAGTGACAATAATGGAAGCTTATCACTTGCGGTTCAGCTGCCTTCTCATGGTATTAATTTACAATTTTTGCTTGCTGGTATCAATACTATTGGTGGTATTCGTCTGTACCTTGAAGGAGCAGGTACTGAAGAAGAGAATACTACTCTTGAGACTCGCTACCAACTTGTCGACCTCATGTTTGCTCAAGTATTTTCCTCCCCTGGTAGTGTGCTGATAGAACAGCCATCGTTTACTATGCAGCTTACAAAAGTGATTAATCGAACTTCTCCATTTCAAGAGAATGGTGAAAAAGTATTGAGCGCTTCCTGGTTACCCTATGTTTCTGCCGATATCAATCAAGTATTTGGGGACGAAAGTGAATATATATATGCGACGAGTTCGAATTCACTTATTTCTCTGTCCATAAGTGAAGGAGCATTTTATGTATTAAACACACAACAGCCGATTGTCGATGAGGCTGAACTCATTTTCACTGATATGCTATTCACGATTACATGTATCGAAATATTTGGTTTCATCTTTCTCATATTCAAACTTTTGACTATTCCATGTAGCAAATTTCTTTTAAAATGTTATTTACGGAATACAGCATCTGATAAATTACTATTCACGGGCGATGAGAGAAAAATGTCAGTATTTCGGTTTTGAAATTTTTAAATAAAAGTTCGCATTTTTTGCTTATTGATCTAAACTATTAAAGAACATGAAGCCACTATCCGCTTGTCTGCCTTTTTACAGATTTCCTTTTCAGGTCCAATAAAGACCATGAAAATATTTTGGATGCACAAGCAACGAATGCTAAGTTTCTATAAAAACCAATACTCCTAAAGGTATTCTATTATGAGAATCGATTTTTCATAAAATCTTTCATGTATACAATAAAAGCGCTTTTTCTATTTTTTTTTCATAACGAATGGGTGCATTGAAATACGCGTAGAGCACTTTATCAACTCTTTTTTTCTCGTTATTCTTTCAGAATTGCTGCTATAAAATCACTTTTCATACTGAAGAGAAAATATATCACCTGAAAACGTTATTTTTCAACGCTTGTCATACTTTTCACGGGACGAATTAGCGCAATATTAGCAATAAACTTGTCATTTAAGATTTATTTCAGTACATTAGATTGTTCATTATTTTTACATCAAGATTTATCAACACTATGTCATGGAGGCCAATGACTGGATGAATCAAATATATGAACAAAGAAAAACTGTAAACATAGAAGAAGAGAGCCTATGAATAAGAGTGTACTGCGTAAATAATCTGAATTACTATTTCTACGAAGTTACCGATTACAAATCAAAAACATGAAGATTATTGACAAAACTACAATTTAATAAATACTGCATGAGTTTCCCTTGAATTCAAAACGCACTTTCACGAGTAAATAAAAAGAAAAGGTCTTCACAGTTCATTAAAGCATCTCTGCATGGCTACGTATGCTAGTTCCATTGTGATTGTATAATGACAGCTTTTTTAGCAGATTTCAGAAACATTGAGTTTCGTCCAAAAGATATTGACTGGCCATTGTTCTATAGGTACTGTTACATTAACTTGTTTACAAGTATCTATCGTTGCAATATATTGACGGGTAGTCAGAAAATCGATGATATTCGTTGCACGCGCTTTATGATAGCGAATTTTATCCCATTCCATGAAAATTATAGGAATATCTAAATAGTCAAGAACTTGTTTGCCACTTTCAAATATATGATATTCAGACCCTTCGATGTCTGCCTTGAGAAGAAAAGAACGCATTTTTGTCTGTTTTATTATTGGTAGCAAGTCGTCAAATCGCATTGTTTTCACCACATACGGATTATCAAATGATTTGTTTGTTGGACCCGAATCATATATTGCTTGACCTCCGATATTTATAGGATCTTGAGATAAGCTAAGCTTGAGTCCCAGCTGAGAATACAAAGCATTTCCAATAAGTATTACATTCTTTTGAAGCTTTTCCATCTGAATGGCCTTAACGATTCTCATATAGTTTGGTCTAAAACATTCAATCGCTATGACGAAATGATTCATTGCAGCAGCAAACATCGTGTATGTACCAATATTAGCGCCGACGTCGATTAGACCAAGATGTTGATATTTCAAGAAAATGCGAAAAAGTAAATGAAGTGCATCTTGTTCATATATAGAACTGCCATAATAATAAGCGCTTACGAAGTCTGTTCTATTATGTACACATATTGTAGTACGTATCACTTGAAAAAGCCGATTTGTCTTGAAACAAGTAAAGTTTTCCACAATTCGGATGTTCAAATCAATAATGTTCAATTCATGCGATGTGCCTATCTCTGAATTCGATGAAATATATGATTTTAATTGATTATGACGGAATGCATCATAGCCAAAGCTATATTTTAAGCAAACTATGAGAAAAAAAATAATACCAGCAGAAAAACACCAAACGAAGTAGCTGGTCTCGAATTTTCGTAAAAATGATGATAACAAATATTGTGTAGGCGCCATTGGTATCTAAACACGTAATACTAGGAAATTTAGTTTTTTAAAAGGAATCAAGATATTGACGCTTTCAATACATAAATAAGTATCAGAGATAGCTAAGAGAAAGAAGAAGGAATTACGAAGCTCTTCTATAGTTGTAGTTGTTATCTGGTGAAATTAAAAAACAGGTGTTTAGAAGCGATGCTAATAATGATTAATGGATTTTCGGTCATTCTCGTTTCTTCAACGAGTAGAATGAGTTGATCAAAGTCATCTTTATGATTAGTTAGTTCACTACTCATTCATTACTTATTCTGGACAACTCAGTATCATCTTACTCGGAAAGTGTCTACTGTAGGTTTAATGATAAATATGGGACCCTGCTTTGGGGTAGGTATATTAAGACAAACTGGATAGAGGTGGAGTAGCTTAGCGTCACTCTTGGCAATGATGTTTATTCGCTTCTTCACATATCCAGAGTGTAACAACTTCGTACGTGGCACACGTATGTATAGGAGGGAGATATATTATAACAATGGAAAGAGAATCATCGAAGCATGCCATCAATATCGGCACAGTAGGTTCACTTCAAACTATGGCAGCAAATGTAAGCCAATATGAAGTTCGCTACTCTTGTATTGACCTTCTGTTTATTTCTTAAGACCTTTCTTTCATGTTACTATAAACAAGTTTAACTGTCTTTCACGATGAATGAACCTATGTTGTATTAACCGACTGAAAACCGCCAGTTACTCGCGGCTCCCATTTAAGTGTTTAAATGCGTTATTTCAAATGTTTGTCTGTTTGGGAAGAGTCTTAGCAATGGGTATCATTGATACGAAAAAAAACTACATTTCAATCACATTTTCCAAACGTATGATTGCTAGTCGAAAGCTATGAACGATCTAGTTTAAGTATACGAGAAAAACTGAAAATGAATCGGATCGGATTCTATTGCATCTGCGGTGGATAGAAAGTGGTAAAACAAACGAATTTTATCGCGCTTGAATATACCATACATTGTCATGAGTGACGCGACCGGAGGTGTAACCCCACTCTCCAATATTCTGCTTAATTGAGAAGACGAAAAATAAGCAAAAAGTATGAACGTAGGATGAAAATTTTCTTTTTCAAACATTAAAATATCATTTTACGGGGGGGGGGGGGGGGGGGGGGGGGGGGGGGGGGGGGGGGGGGGGGGGGGGGGGGGGGGGGGGGGGGGGGNATTTAATTTTTCCCCCCCCCCCCCCCAAAAAAATCGTTCAAACGGTCGCGTCACTCCTGTACATTGTGTCACAGGCAACGACAGCTTTTGCCACATTATGAACTACTTTAAGTTTAACAAGACTTTCCTGTGATTACAACAAGACAGAGTTACAAAAAACACTATCTGCTCGATTATAACATTGCTGTCTTAAAAGTTAGGCAATAAAGCAGAATTATTCTATTGTCAGAAGATATCAAACAATAGATGGTGTTGTCTATTTTATGAATGAAACACCAAAATCAGCCGCAAAGTAATTTGGTGCAAGAATATTTCATAGAGAAATGCAATAGGATTATGAGTTTATGTTAAATTGTGGCTGCCAAGTGCCGAGAGTTTTAAATGGACCTTCATTTTACATAAAAAATTATAGAAATCTCAGCTCTTCAACAATCAAATCGTCGATGCGAATAAACTGAACGTTTTGAAGAGATATCGCAATCCCAAAAACAAACACAATAAATAGTAAGGTGTCTCTGATCCAATAAATTTATGTTTGATTTCTAATGTTTAAAAAATTATTTATTCTATCAATTGTACCGAACGGAGATAATACTTTACAGTAAAAAGATAAAACAAAATATTCATCGGATCTCTATATTATTCATACCCTTGTGGTTCAATACTTTTCTAGACTTCTAAAGTGGTCCAGAGAATTGAAAATTCATACAGATCCTATGATAAGAATTCCACATTGAAAGCAACGTGTACTGTGTTGATCTTCCACGCAGTTCGAACAACTACGATCGTTTACGACCCTAAATGGGGAGACAAAACGGTCGTTTATTATTCTTGTACACAGAGTCCTGTTACGATCTCCCTATTTTGCTGTATATGATCGTATTACTCTGTATATGACAAAAATATACTATCATAATACTAACACATTTATCATATCTCAATAGGATCGAATACGGAGACAAACGGAACGTGTACTAGCGTGTACGGCCATACGCTACTGCGTATACCTTAACATGGGTATTTGGTTCGTATTAAATAAGGCAGAGATTAATTAAGAGTTAACAAAAATTATTTTCTATTTGCTTGGTGGCAAGTAATATTCTCAGGGAAATCTGCTACATTTGTCTTCAATGTGAAATAGCCTGCTGAATACCGAAAGAAGTCGATCTTTTTCTACGACTCTTAACCATCAAGTAGTATACCTTCAAATAACTAAATACTAGTCTAAATAACAATTCACTATTGTTATCTATAAGAATTAAGAATCAAAACATTGCAGTGGTTTATGAAGGGGTGAATTACGTTTCGTCTCACTCTTTCCGAACATCTGACAACATGACCGGGTGTTCGGAAGTGAATTTCTATTTTTAAGACTTTTCGCAGGAGTTCGTAAATGAATTTTATTTTTAAGG